TACCCGACTCCCACAACATATGCACCATCAGCACCAGTAAAGATCTGTGAATATTTTCCTTTATGCAAGCAAGGAAATGAGCAACATTCTTGTTTTACAGAGGCACAGATGGTAGTATTTTGCTGAACTTACAGCCTCCCTGAACTGTCCTGCATCTTAAATATAGATGCATCCTTTTCTAATCCTACAAAATACCCAAGCAAAAAACTTTGGTGAGAGACACTGTCACACACTGAATATGACTCCATTTCCAAAGCTGTAACCACCTGATCTTCATCATGGCACAGAGCCATTTCTTTTGCCACAGGACCACAGTCTGTCATGAGACCACTTCAACAGCAGTTTAGTAGCATTTCCCAGCAGCTGAGCCCCACCTGAGCAAAAAGTCCGTCTTACCATGGGTTGAGCTGTCAGCCAGGATATGTAGCCATGTAAATGGAAAGGGGAGCTGGTGATGAAAGCTCCCTGCTCTAACTTTTCAGCTGCTTTATTTACTCACTTTAAGGGGTGGGAAGAAAAAAAAGAATCAAGGAAGTAATGTTCCTCTCCCGAGGTGCACTGCAAAACATTCTTGGTAGACATGGAAACCCCTGGCAGGCTGCCACCCCTTGGCCAGCCTCCACATTAAATTTCAGTGAGCAACTCAACACTTGAATGGCTTTTAGAGAATTTAAAGGGAAACAGCAGCCGCGGGTGCATGATGTGGCTGGTGCTCCCTGTAGGCAAGAGTTAGGGGTGTTCCTGAGTTTGCCTCCAGCTCTGCAGGAAAGCCTGTCATGCTTTTGGGGTGCACAAAGCAGGCAAGTTATGATGGAGCCAGCTGAAAACAAAGCAGCCTCCACTCTTCCACAAAGGAGGTTTCATAGCCACAGTCTGCAGGGACAGAGGGCAACCTTCAAATATTAAAAGGGGATCTGCAAAATGAAGGGAAAAAAACATTTCAACATGGTCTAGGGATTAAACTGCAGCCAAAGGTATTTAAGAAAGTCCGTTCCTCCCTTCTCCTGGTTTTGCCCCTCTCCTGGCTCCCAAATATCCTCTCCCACCCTGGGGGCGGCCTCTCTTTGCTTGTGGTTGGGCTGAAGAGTGATGGGGATCTGGTATCGTGTCTCCCTAGAAATCTCCAAACACATATGAGAGCAGGCAAGTGCATGGGCTTGAGAACTCGCTGCTCTGGGGGAAGAGCGAGGAAAGCAGAGAAAGCCTGAAAGTGATTGCTAGAGGGTAGTGGGGATTCTGGGGGTGGTTGGACAGAGGTGATCCCACACTTGAGCAGGAAAGGAGACACTGCATCTTCCTCAAATTGCTTATTCCTTCTCATTCAGTAACATTCATTCTGCGTGGCAAGGGGTTATTTCTGTCTAAATGCTGTAAACCTGCACAGTGCCCATCATCATAGCTTCAAAGTGCTCTGAAGCACATGGAGGAAGGGAAGCAGCATGAACCCAGCAGAATGAGCAGCGTAACAGAATTATGATGTGCACAGAATTGATCCACCGGTTCAGTTTCAGATTTCCATCAACAGTGTCTGCAAACAGGTTTACGTCATGTAAGTGAGCATGAGCACATGTGGGACACACAGCTTCTCTCTGAAGATGTCAATATCAACAAAACCAGAATAAAGCAAGGAGACTCACTTCCCCACTCTCTTCTTACATGCTTGGTGCATTTCCAGGGAGACCAGACCTCAAGTCCCCCATGGTTCATCCATTTGCCCATCATTCTAGAAGACAGATAGGAAAGAAACCCCATGGTGGGGAAGAAGATGACTCAGGCAAAAACTACATCCATTTTCAGTGGTTTGACCCCAGGGATCTTGCTGCCATACTGAAAAAAACTCTCCTCTTGCAGTTCAAGACTATGGCATTCCCCCCAACGGCATTGTCATGCTTTTTATGTAGCAACACCACTGCCACAGTGATTGGTGAGGCGGCACATTTAGCAAGAGCCACATTTCCCAAGAGGATGCAGAAGTCACAAGCTATAAATAGGAAGTTGACAAGTTTAACAGTGCCTGTGGTTTCACTAAGAGGTTGGTGGTCATCCACTAATTGGTAAGTAACGGCATGTGCAGTGTGGGCTATGAGTAACCTTATCCGGTGACGGGTTATTCCTCATAAGTCTGTATATGGGAAAAGATCACTACAAAATATCCAGCTTAAGGGATCAAGTCGCCAAATTAGAAGTAGATGTTTGCATATGAAGTGTTTGTGTTCCTTGTCATAAAAAAGGATAAAGAAAAAACCCACAACAACAACAAAACCCCCTTGGAAAGCTGAAATAAATAGAAGGCCAACATGAAATCTTATAATTTAAAATTCCATCAGGGGATTCTGCTCTGACCCACTCCAGGAATTTTCAATTTATCCAAAGAAAAGAAGCTGAAATTAAATCATGAAGTGTTGAAAGATCTGGAGTCTGAAGAAATCGACTACCTTCTTTATCTTTTTTTTTTCCCCCTGAAAACTAAAGGAGGCACTCTTCGTCAGTGACCCATATACAGAATAAGAAATCTGAAGGCAGGAAAAAAAAAACAATCAATCAGGATTGTTTGTGCTATTACTGCACAGCTCTTGGCACAAATGTATACCAGCAGTGGTTTGATGCCATGGCAGGCCTGGCTCATGAGCATACAGACAGGAGAGAGCTTCCCATCAGCTGCAGGAAAATCATAGTCTCACTTGCTCCAAAAAAAAAAAAAACCTCAAAAAAATCCACACCTCTTGAGAACACACAAAAAAAGGATGGGAACAGTGCTGAACTCCCAGCTTGTGGGCAAGGCACTAATAATAAACTGCACTCTGGAAATAGCAACCCAGAGGCTTAGGGAGCTTAAACTGTGTTTGACCGAGGACACAGCAGGTGTATTTCCACAAGCTTCTCTTAAGCAGACTAGTACTGTGCTTAGACAATGTTTTCTAAGAAGCAGCAGTCCTACAAGCAGCAGGACTGGCAGCCCACTTTGCTGTGGATTTATGCCCTGTAGTTGCATTTGCTGGTGTCTGGCAAGATGCAGGCAGAAACCAAAGATCTTTATGGCTTGGTTGGTCATAGCATCTCTGCCCAGCGTGGATCCCCTGGGTGTTCAGCAAGGATTGTCCACATACTATACTTATTCCTTCTGTGGGCACTACAACTGATTTAATCCTTTACTCAAAAACATACTTTTTAATAAGTGAAACGCACAAACTCAGTATCTTCCAGACATTTATCCTTTGGGCAATTTCAGCTGAACTAAAACAACAGCAAAGTTTCAGAAGTCCAGAGGAGGGAAGGTAGAACAGAGAGAGGAGAACGGGCAAGCAAAGTATCATGCCCCATTTCCTTAAGAAATCAAGCTGAAAAACATTAAAACCAGCTTGGTGAGCCACTGCGTAGGATCTCAGAGTCACAGACTGGATGTTCATTTGGAAAAGGAGGACTAAGCTGCACAACTTCTGAAGCAGATTCATAATTCCCTGACTCGATGCTGCCACCGTCTGTTGTCTCCTGGTGGGAGTTCATTACACAGCATCCTGCATTCCCTTTCCACTGCACCTAAAGCTTATCCCCATTTTCGGGGCACACTGTTTTCAATCATCTCATGAGTGGGAACACAGCAGCTAACAGTAACACCATGTAAGTCTGCAGTGAGCACAAAAGCAATAGAGAACAGAACTGCTGCAAAAAGGAGCAACTGCATCATTCCACCCTCCTTTAACCTTCAGGTTAGGTTGTAATCAGTAACGTAAACATTCAAGCTGCCCTGACCTATTTAAGCCTGTAAAATATTAACTTGCAATGGAGCTATTTTTCCTGAAATTCTGCTTAGTTCTCTGTAAGTGCTACAACACAGTAGCAGAAGATATCATTGCTTGTTTTCTTATCAAAAATCACAGGCTTCTCCAGTAAAGAACATTACAAGAAATTATGAGTATAGAAGAATCATAAAATCCTAGCATACCAGGCCAGAAGGGATCTTAAGGATCACTTGGTCCAACTTTTCTAGGTAAAGCAGACCTAGACTAGATGGCCCAGCCCCCTGTCCAGCCAAATCTCAAGTATCCAGCACTGAGGAGTCACCACTTCCCTGGGGAGATTATTCCAGTGGCTGGTTGTTCTCATTGTGAAAAACTTTCCTCTTGTGTCCAGTTGTAATCTCCCCAGGAGTAACTTGTGCCCATCACTCCTCATCTTTCCCGTGTGACTCCTTGTAAAAAGGGAGTCTCTCTCTTCTTTGTAGCCACCCTTTAAATACTGCAACATGGTGATGAGGTCTTCCCTAAGCCCTCTTTTCTTCAGGCTCAACTCTCTGTCTTTCCTCATGCAGCTCCTCAGTCCTTGGATGATCTTTGTGGCCCTTCTGTGGACCCTCTCCAGCCTATCCACATCTGTTTTTTATAGCAGGGACCAAAACTGAACACAGTACTCCAGGTTAGACTAGTAGTATTCCAGAGAGAATATAGTAAATTTGTTTTACCTAATCACACTCCTCCTGATCCTCTTTTTCATTCTGTGGCTAAAAGGTTTGTTTGCTTCGTGGTGGAAGGGCAGTCCAGATCAGAGTCCCACACTCCCTCAAACCCCTCAAACTGTACTTTCCCTACTCATCTGATTCAGAAAATTTTCTTGAGCCTGTTGAGCAGCACCGAGCCAGAGGTGGTGGCCCTGCAGTTATAGCTTCTACAGCCTCCTATGCATATGCTCTTCCCAGTTGGCTTCAGCTTCTTTCAACTGTCAACAAGTGAAGTTGCAGACTGTAGTGACACATACACAAGACCCTTCAGGGATGAAGGATGCTTCTAAAATCTCAAGATGTCAAGTACTCATCTACAGTAATGCTGGACTCTGCTAGCATGGGGCAGCTATGATGCTGATGATGCATCAGCTTGGCTTACAGCCCTTTTTCATTAGGGAAAGAAAATTCTCTTAACAGGCCAGGAGAAAAACAAGAGCAAGAGAGCTGCAATCAGTCAGCTGCAGGGAAAAAAAAAAGGGGGGGGGGGAATAAAAAAAATGATTTAAAGTGCCATGTCAGGTTCTTAATGAGTGGATTGCCTTCCTCTGGGGGAGTGGTGAGAGCTCTGAGCACACGACTTTGTTCCCTGCATCCCACCCCCCCACCCCCCTTCACAAAGCCCAGCTTGAGGAGCAGCAGAACGCTGTGTAAGTGACACCGGTCTAATTAATTAATGACTCCTCGGCGTCAGCTCTGTGGCTGCTGGGTTCGAAAGGAAGGCAATAAAGAATGGCCAGGACTGCACGCGACTGCTTCTGGTAAATGCTGAATGCTGCTGAGAGCTGGCTGGGTTGTTCATAACCTCCCCTGCTTTGGGCTACAGCACAGAAGTCGGAGATACACTGGGAAGAGAAGATGGCGTGGGATCCACCCTTGCAGCATCCTTTCTTCTGGTTGAGATGTTCCTCCCTCTTCTTGTCCTGCTCGAGAGCTGCCATGGCACAGCTGATTGAGGTAAGGAGCAAGTTTCTTTATAGACTAGGGGTTCGGGGATGTCCAGGAATAGTTTTTTTTTCCATGCATGTCCAGGGAGGACAGGTAGGACAGACAGCAGAGAATTTAAGGCGGCTCCAAGGAGTTAGAGGCTTCTTCAGGGAGTGCCTATCGCTTTCCACAGGCCCAGCACTAGAAAGAAGGTGCTTTTAAAATGCCATTAGCTGCTACTGAGAACAGTCAGCACTTAAGGGCAGCTTTAAGACTACTTGACACAGTGCAAAGGGCTAATGTCAACAGCACAGCATTTTTTATCCCAGTACTAAGTGTTCAACAAGTCCCCACATGAGAGGTTCAGGGAAAGAAGAGAAGGACCAGATGTGACCCAGGTGATCCTGTCCCTGGATGTACCTACCCAACATTTAGGCTGCATTTTTCTTCTCCTGCATTCTCCTCATTTCCTCTCATTCAGCAAAAAATTTAACTTTTGTGGTGATGTTCCTCACCCACAGCTCAATTTCAGAGCTTTCCCCTGAGGATGATGATGTGCTTTCATGCCCCCAGCTTCCTCCACTGAGGCTGGTATGAACCAGTACGGAAGAGCAGCTTCACAAGCCAAATCTACACGCTGACAGCAGTTACAACTTACTGTCAGCAGTTTCAGAGGTGAGAATTCTGCCTGCAAGGATAGACCTCCAGAATTACAGCTGCAAAACTCTGGCAGGCTTGCTGTTTTCAACCTCTTCATTGCTGTTCCTTAGACTTGAGCCACACTAGAGGCAGCTGCTGTGTTGGTCCATGGTCCAGAGCCCCAGTGCTGCAGTGACAACGACAGCAGCTTGTTCTTGCAGCAGAGCTTGCTTTGCTCAGATTTCTGGGTTTAGCTAAACTGCTCAAAAATGCATCTGTGCAGACACAGCTGTGGTAAGGGCTCTAATGGACTAGCACAAGAAAAGGATTTTCCCAGTCATCCCTGGCTGCCCTTCTTCTCACCTGTCCTCACACCAGCCAGGTCTGATCTCTGCAGTCTTTGGTCCGTAGATTTTAGCAGTTGATCACCAACACACCAGATGCAATGACAACCTTGCTGAGCTCATGTCCCCACCCAGTCCAACTGTTACCCCACCTCTCCCCTTGTCTCATTTTAAAGTTAGTTACTTTGGATTTTCAAATGGGTGTAGCAACCCATCCTATCTGACCACAATATAACATCCCCAAAAAAGCAATCAGGAACCTAAAACTCCTTTACAAAGTCATACCTACTTTATTGTAGACATTCTTCATGTTTTTCCAAGCTCTTCAGCCTACAGCAGCTCTCAAGGTGACAAGTGAGGCAGAACTTACTCTTACAGTGCACATTTCACAAAGCATGCTTCGCTTAACCCAGGGCAATGTGCAGACACAGCATTCACCCCACCAGGAAGATGTTCCCTTTCATTATGTTTCACAGACACGCACTGTACAGGAAACGGCCTCATGCAAAAAAAAAATAAAAAATAGAAAAGATAAATGGCAAAATTACAAAAATTGTTATAAACCAGGTGTCATTTTATGGTCTGCTTTACTTATACCAGACTTTCTTGAAAACTTGTCTGCTTCTTTATAGCACGTAAGAGGGAGCAAATCTCATCTGGAAACATAAGCTGCATGGCAGGTTAACTATCAAGTATCCAAAAACGAGATTAGGTGAACAGTTTCTGTGTCTCAAAAAGCAGATGAATTACAGGCTGCTCCAAAGCTTTGCAAGGCGGTTTTACTTCAAATAATTACACAATGTAGTTAACTTGAATAATTCAATTTATGCTAAACCAGCCCATCAAAGCAAACAGAGAGAAGGTCAAAGGGACTGGACATCAGAGCCTTTCAGTGAGCTCAAAAAAACCCCAAACAAACCAAAACAATAAACAAAAAAGCCACACAATAATACGAAGTAAAAAAACAAGGAGATACTCTTGTTTAATGGTGCTCAAGTGTTTTCAAATGTGCAGATTCATGTACACTTTCTGCTTGGAAGCGAAGAGGCAATAAAAGCCTCTGAATATTGACTCTAATCGCATTGACAAAAAGCTTTCCTCTTTCATAGGCCTTTTGGAAGGTTTCTTAGTCCCCTAGGTTGAAAGTTAACTGTTCAAGGATTAGCAAGCTACCCTGGCACTGGGTAAATTTGGAAATAGCTCCACGGGGTGCCAGGAAGCTTCCTATAAAGTGTATTGCAAAGGTACCTCCTGCATTTCACCTGGAGCTGTGGACTCTTCTCCAAGAGCCCCTGGCCCAAGTTCCATTGTAGTTTGTACAAGTTTGTGAAAACACACACCCAGTATATTCTGTCTAGGCAGCCCTCAATGCCTCTGTATCCTGACCTTTAAAATGCATGCACATGCTCAGGCATTAGCAAGTCCTAAACACCTAGAACACTGGGAAAGGCTCTTTTCCAGCATCACACCAATGCTTTGGCACCAAGCGGACTAAACAATAGAGTGCAGCACTCTCCTGTCCCTTTGCACAGGACTACTCAGACAATGCATTCAGCTCCCTTAAAATAATACCCATTACATGAAAAGCGTATAGCACTGGCCCATTCTCCAGCTTTCCACCTTCCTCATAATTTTTTCAAGGGCCCCAGCTGGAATAAAGTATGCATTTCAAGAAGCAGGCAGCTTATGCAGGGAAGAAGGAATGAGGTGACAGCACAGTTCGTACTACTACTGCTGCTGCTGCTTTTGCCCATCGATATGCCCAAGGGATGCTCTGAAAACAGAATTAGGACATGTTAGGGATGGACAAACATCCACATATCCAGCACTTCTAGATCAGGAATTTCATCTTATAAAGGCCAATATAAACCTCAATTTCTTAGATTCAGCCCTCTTTTGGACCAGGGCTGAAGATTAGCACCCATAATGCTTCATGACTATTTTGTAATCAGCTTAAGGAATACTCTGCTCTGCAGTGTAACAAGAAAACAAATCTGCTTTGGGACAGCAGAAGGAAATCTTTATGCTTATTTGAGTAATTTTATTGATACTAAGGACTGATAAACCAGCTGGAGTAGACCACATTTTTCCAGTCATCCCCATATGCTTCATTACTGATTTCCACATTGGCATAATTATTTCATTCCTACCCTGAGGCTTTTCTCAGCCAATTCTGTATCTGTCAAATCTTTATTAATCTCTTAGTATCTGCATTGGAGTTTGGAGCTTCCTATTCAGGAGATCAAACTGTCCTAGGAAGTCACACAGAAGAAAACCTTCAGAACCTTTAGCAGACCAGAAAAAGGTGCCCTTTATCAAGATAGTAATTAAAGGTGCTTCTGGTTTCATGTCAGTTTTAGCTTAGACTCCTTGGAAAAGCTGCAACACAGACTTGAAAGTAGAGAAGATAAGAAACCCCAAAACCTAAACTTTTTACTAGTTATGAATAGCTTCAGTGGAGTAAAGGCAGGTCCTGGTGGAGTAGGGTAAGGAGATCACTGCAAGATAAATTGAAGGCCAGTTCAAAGAAAAGGAGGGTTAATTAAAGGTTTTCAGGTTTTCAAGACCTTCCACTTTCAAATTGCCATATAGACAAATGATATATTTGATACACAGTGTTAAGTGGAGTTCAGTTTATACTACACTTAGCTGTATATTAACGGGCTCAAGGGACAGTAACCCTCATATGTAGCCTCCAAGTGAATGTGATGGATGTGATGCTGTATGCAATGATCTAAGAATACTCATGTGTGATTATAGTTTAAATGAAGGCAGGTATAATTACTGAGTGATTATAGTGGACTCCTGAGGTTGATATCCCATGTGGATGAATAATTTTAGCTTAATAGCTGTCAATAAAAAGAACAAACAAGAAAACAATAGTTCAGGAGGACATATGCAAGCAAAACACATTTGAGAAATGTTAGCTTTAAGAATAAGCATCTTTGAGGAAGATACATGTATTTCAGGTAAGATGGATTAAAAATATTATAGAAAATTATAAAAGCCATTTTCTGGAAAAAAATCCTGTCATTGTCAGAAGAGACAGGCTCAAGAGGGAGGGATGGAGTCTATAAAGGGTACAAAGTCACTGGACCATCCCCAACCCAAATTCACATAAATTTAAGGAAAAACGTGGACTTGCTCTCAGAGCATTTGCATTTGTTTGCAGAGAGATTGCATGTATAACTAAATCTAACGTCTCCACTAATAAATTACCCTAAATGCTACAGCTATGCTAAAGATGCTGCTTCGTCACTGATGCCATTCTCAGATGAAGGGAGGCTGCAGGGTCCAATCTGAAACCATTATTCACAGGACCATGAATTGGTCCAGGTACAAAGAAAATGAGGCTCCCACTGGGAATAGGGAGTCTGGAAGTCTGCGTCCACAAAAGGGGTCTGTTTGTCCAGCTCAAGAGCAGCCTTGGCACAAGCAAGCCTCACCACCAGGGCAACAGCTATATCTACATTGTAATTTGACACTAACTATTAGATTTACCAACCATCCAACTTAAATTCAGTCATTTGATCAGTCGTCTTTCCTTTTTTTCTAAATACATAATCCTATTATATATGTACGTTAATATAGAATGTATACTATATTATGTACTCCTGACCTGTAAAGCCACAGATGAGTTATCATTACTGTATTTTCAACATTGCATCTGGACTCTGCCACGGCTTTCCCACAATTGCAGGAGATGTTAATGGCCTCACGAGATAAGTTTTGCCTGCATGGAGGTCCATTGTCACATTGTCCATCTCCTTATGGTTACTTGGAAGGAGGAGAAGGGAGCTAGCACATGTGCATTTATTTCAAGATCAGTTCTTCCAAACCATCAGTGGCCTTTAGCTGTGTGTAATCAAATGCAATTAGGAATAAACATTGTTAGTTTTCAAAGCCCAACCATGTTGCAGGCTATGAAATCAAGCGTAATTAGAAGGGCATTTATAAAACAGAAAAATAATAAGGAAAAAAAAGGAATAAAGGCCTTTAAAAGCAGTGCCTTTTACTATTTTTCTTCTCTGCTGCTTCATTAAATTA